AGTGGCATTTTTGTAAATAGATATCTTTAAATAATATTTTTACTAATATGCACATAAAAAGTGACTCTTTGTAATTACCCCTAAATATATAATGGGGTTGCTATTGCTAAATGTTGGTTTTTGTCACCTAAATTTGGCAAGAATCTCATATTAATTGAAAAAAAAAGTTTGATGTAAGGTAAATTTCGGTTAGGTGCTCAAGACAGGTGAATCCCGACCTTACTACTTATATTATTATATTTTAGTTGCTCGCTTTTTATAATAAAAACCAATCCATACCTAATTGATTATAGATTTTATCATGAGTACCTCTATGAAAATGGAGCACAGTATAATCACAATGTATGTACCAGCGCATTTAAATTTGAAAATCTACACATTTATGACAAAACATGGTGGGCCATTTCTTTTCAAGTCTACACATATGTCCATCGTATTACAAAGAACCGTACTTTATTTAATAAACCAAAGATTATCTAAGCACTGCATGGATTTAAAAATTAATATAGTAAAATATGTAACAATTTTAAGTTATTAATTATTTATGTAGTTAATATTTCAAAAAATTATTGTTGTAGTACATAGTTATCTATGTTAGAAAAATAAGTATTTGGAGCAAATTGTTGGACATATATAATATTATATGTGAAAAAATAGTATATTCATTAATAAAAATTAAAACGTATGCATATGCAAGATATCTTCTTTTGCACAAATCCGCAACTTGTATGTCTTTATCAATATTCACTATGGTTCCCTAAAAAATGATTGGTCGTCTTTTTTCTTACATCAAATACGTTTGTAATAAAAAAAATTATTGATCAGACAAGTTGTAGTATGTTTTGCTTCTATCGAGAAATCTGCATTATCTCAACAGAGATGTTAAAATGCATCTTTGTGTTTTATTTTGTTAGAACCTTAAATTGTAAGGAAAGAATAATTGATTTTTGATTTTTTTGTCTCAATCTTTTTATTGTTTTTCTGCGATTTTTATTTTCACATGATTCATTTGTGAATTATTATATTTTTCTTATTCACAATTTGTGGAGGAGTAAAGTTTCTTTTCGAGAGTATTGGTTAGGAAATGATTGACAATTTTAACATTCTAACAACTTTAAAATTTTTAAAATCACTAATTAATTTTCTCACACCATTTTTTTTGTTAATGTTACGATTCTTTTTATTAAAATTTTTTGTAACTTTATTTTTCTGACTTTTTGTTTTAAAATGGTAGTTACC